TTAACTATACCTCATTTACGTTATCAGAATATACTATCATATCTAAATCCACATCAGACTTGATTGACTTAACCTTACATCTTTTCCAAATCTTACAACTTTATCACTTTTACTATTACAACTCGTCAATAGCAACTGTTCAATCTAGGGCACAAGCCCTAATCAATCAATCATATACATCATTTCTATTCGAAATTATCTCAACAATAATTTACTTAACTTATAAATCCACCTTTATTCTCATACACCATGTAATTTCCATTATTCACACACAGTTTCCATTCTTAAATTCTTCTTATCAATCCTTAGCTTTACTCAAACATACAAATCCTCACTTCCTTCACTATATCACTTTACTATGATCACAATATACAATCGTATCCAGATTTACTTCATATTTGGTTATCATATCCTGACAATATCTTAAAATCTTATAACTCCAATACATTTCATCACACAATCTTGTTAGCCAACGCTAACTCTTTCCATCTGGAATATAAACCTTTATCATATCCACAATCTTACTTATACACAATACTACCCCTTTGATTCAAATCCATAACTCTGATTTCATTCATCTTATAAACATATCACTGATGCACTTATTCTTGAACTCTTTTACAATTCTAACCACATCATTTGATCCTTTAACGTTCTTATGGTGACACTTGTTCACCATATTCTAGCTTGTCCACTTAGTAACGAAACTACTCAATTTAACTTCTCCATTTGCAGAAATGAAAACCTTCTATTCATTATCTTCATATCATTTAACCCAAAGATCTGTAACAACAGAATCTTCCTAAAATCCACCCTTGAACTCGGGTGCTCTTAACTCTTTCAACTAATTCGATACATTCATTCTACGAGTTAAAGAAGTGGAAAATTGAAAACACATCAAAATATTATTCAACATCATGAAGACATTTTCTAATCTTGTACAAGCATTCCCTGAGGTTTTTCGCTCTTCTCCCTACCTGGCCAGGGCAGGTGAATGCTATTACCTTCAGGTCTATCGCCTTGTGCTTCACTTTTGAAGCTCTCATTATCAAACATCTAATATAATATAACTATTGAACTCTATTAACAAGACAAAAAAACTCCTTACCGTTCAGACCATAAACTTTTTCACTTCGTGTTGGCTTGTACATTTTTTTTAAAACACTGTTGACTTCGATTTAAGCATAGAATCGACTAAATCGTAGCTCTGATACCATTAAATGTAACACCCCCAACTCGTACCTGACCCGGCTACGAGTCTGAGATGTCACATTGACTTTTCAAAACCTTTACTTGAACAAAATAGTGAATAATTTTTAAAACTTTTACTAAATACAATTGACTAATTTACATAAATTAGTATTATATGATTTTACAAAAACCAATTCGAGTATATCGAATTCAAATTTTTATTTACATGGCAAATACATATATTTTCTGATCTGAACTTTGTAAAGGAGATACTGACATGTCTTGCTCCCCAATGCTCGTTGTATTTTTCTCGAACCTACGTGTGAAACAATCACACGCTAAGTCGATGACTTAGTGAGGCAAATAAAACATATAATATAAATCATAAAACATTCCATATAACAAACCACATGAACATTTAATACTAACTTATCATACAAAATCATATAACAATTTCATACAAAATCACACACCTTTTTATATAACAAATACACTCATGTACATATATCATCATCTACTTTCTTAGCATTATCATATATATTATTATAACTATTTCTATCATTATCATCCAATTATTTATCACCTGATCTTGTACTTATCATTTATGTATATCATATCACACATATATCATTTCACCAAGAAACACCCATAAATCATAATTCATATAACCAAAAGCACATACATTATATATATATATTGTATTCATGTTATCTCTTTGATTAGCCCATGGCACACTAGTGAGAACTATAGATATGTGAGTCTATAGAGGTTGTGCACTAATGCTGTCACAACAGCTCGTATAAATACACCGAAGTGCCGCGTAGAAATGCACCGTAGTGCCATATAATGTCCATAAGGACCACATATAAATTCCTTAAGAAACATATACATATACCAAGGACCAAGTATGTGTCTCAAAGACCTCATAAATGTTCCAAAGAATATATATATATATCCCGAAGAACCGCGTAGACCCTCGACTTTTGGCATGCCAACTATACCCCTAGCTCTCATGACACATAACATGGGCATTATTATTTATTTCATTTCAAATATTCACATAAACATGTAATTCACTTTCAGATATCACATATCACATAGCTTTTCATATAACTCATAATCATATGTCTTATCTCATAACATATACATGTTTTCACCTATATAATTCATATCATTTCTTATACCATCACATAATTCATTTAACATACATACATATCATGTAACATTATAATAGAAATACCTATAAGTCATATCACTTAGATTTCATATACATCTAGTCACATAGATCACTTTTGCATAGCTTATATCCACATATATTATCTACATGTATACCCAGAAATCAAATGGCATATACAAAATCATATAAATATATATATATAGTTTATGCAATCACATTACTTATACTCACATGGATCCATATCATAGAGCTTAGTTCTCTTGTACATGTTATCACACCGGCACATAATCTTATATCAATCCTATAGGTAAAAGTTATTTATATTTATCTCATTTTCCCTTTGTATCAGCTTACATGATTTATTATACTAACATGTACAATAACATATAACCCTTATCACTTATCTCACGTTATTTAATTATGAATTATTCTATCCATTTAATTTTGTTCTATATAGCTCCTATAACCTTCTCATAAGGTTTTATAGTTCTTCATTTTATAACTTCTATATCATAGTTTTCTTTTAAGCATATCACTTTTTCCTATAGTGTTTATCCTATAGGTTCGTATCATCGTTATGCTCATGTCCCCTAATTTATATATATATCATTTTCATAAAGTCTCTTAATTTATTATCTTCTGATTTATATATTATTCTCTTAAATATTCTCATATTACTCTATAGTCTGGTCGTATTTAACTCATCACCCATCTCATGTAGTCATAAATATATTATACTGATTCTAATAATTAATCACCTATACCCTGTAACATGTATGGTCATCCATCATATAACTTATTTCACTTCCCATGCAATCATATAGATCATTCATATTAGATCCTATAACTGATCACACTACATGTATTCACACAAATCATTTAACACCTACTGTAATTTATATCATATATACTCAAATCAAACATATACATATGATCATAAATTCATACATTCTAATATAGGAAATAGACTCGTTGCAAGTCTTATTTCCATTAAACATCATAAACTAACTTGTATGCACTCACCTGGGCCTCGTTTGCTTCGAATCAATCCTAATCCTTAGTTTGTTCCGGAACAAGCTTTCATTCTATATCTACATAATAATACATTTATACTTATCAGTATACTAATTGATATATTTGAAACTATCACTCCTTAGGCTAAGAGAAAAGCCAATTTCATCTTTTAATAAAGGTATGCATCGATGCACTGCACAGTGTATCGATGCATTCCCTAACGATGCATCGATGCACTACTTGTGCATCGGTGCATAAAATACATTTGATGTTTGTTTATTTGAGAGTGCATCGATTCACATTGAATATGCATCGATGCACACAACCCTAAAATTTCATTTTAAGCACGAAATTATTCAACTCTTCATTCAATTCTTCTATTTTAAGCCCCTATCATGTCCTTAAACTCAACTACCATTTCTTAAACCAACTTATATCCATATAAACCATATTTATCTTCCATATCTCATCATGATTCTTAAAATTAAGAATCTTACTAAATTTTCAACTTTGTTATAAATCCTTTCTATCTTCATAAATCTCTTATTTTTATTGATAACAAGTCAAATTCCTTCTCAAAAATCACTTATTAACTATTTTCCAAAATTTCCTTTAAAAACTCAGTTCCTTTAATCTTTCATAACTTCTTCATCTTTTGATTATAAGACAACTTAAGCTTTCCATAAGCTTAAATATTACCTAAGGATCAAAACCCACTCTTAAAATTAACAAATAATCAGCTACAAGGAATTTTATCTTTGCCTTGGAGCTTTCACGGGAGGAAGAAGAAGATGAAGAAGAAAAAGAGAGAAGAGATTTCTGGAAAAATCTCTCATCCTTATCCATATATATATCATTATTTTATTCATATCTTGGTTAAATGACCCTTTTGCCCTTTAATACCTTTTATAATTACTAGCATCTTCAAGGTAATATTTTCAAATAATCACTGAACTTTTCAACTATTCCAGTTTAATCACCAAATTCAGAAATATTACAATTTGGTCACTAACCCGGTATTAAGGATGTTACATTTTCTCAAATTAAATTCCTTCTAGGTGAGTGGATATTTAAGGCTCTTTTGGTCTATGAAGATGTAACACTAAATCATGGATAGGATAATTGTGCTCATGCGATTTGAGCTAACGGTATGTAAAGAGACCACATTCCCTTCTTGCATCAAAAGACACCCCAAATCAATTAAAGAAGCATCACTAAAAATGGTGAAGTCCTTATCTAACTCTAGCTAAGTTAGAATAGGGGTTGTGTCAAAATGGCCTTCTGTTAAGATAGCAAATGATTAGTTAGTTTGTTATAAGTTTGTTGTTAGACTGTTAGAGAATTAGTTAGAAGCAGTTAGCTCTTGTATTATAGTTTGTACAGTGTACTATATATATTGCAGTTTAGTTGAATAGTAAGATGAACGAGGCATTATTTTAACATGGTATCATTCCAAGGTTTCATTAAAATTTCCAGGCCCTTTCTTGTTGGATCCCTCTGCTTGGCCCACTTCTAAAACTAAGTAATGTGGCTCGGTATCATCCTCACATCAGCACTTCTCTTCTTCGTTCTCCCCAAATTCCTCTCCTAGGGATTTTGCTCGACTATCTTCACTGCAATGCCTCCAATCAACGATTCGGCCGTGGTTGATTTCCATCATCCACTTTTCTTGAATCCATCAGATACTCCAAGCACTCCACTCATCTCTCATCAATTAGTTAGATTGGAGAACTCTAATATTTGGAGCAGGTCGATGCGAATAACACTTTTGGCAAAGAACAAACTTGGCTTCGTTGATGGTTCTTGCCAGAAAGACAGTTATGGTCCTGACTTGCATCCTCAGTGGGAGAGGTGTAATGTAATCGTGCTATCCTGGATTCTCAACGCTGTGAGTAAGGAGCACTCGACAGGCGTCGTCTTCGCTTCAAATGCGGCTTCGGTTTGGGACGATCTGAGGGAGCGCTTTGATAAGGTGAATGGCTCCAGGATTTTCTTCCTTCATCGAGAAATAGCTACAATTTCTCAAGGTGAGTTGAGCATTTCAACTTACTTCACTAAATTAAAGATGTTATAGGATGAGTATATTGCTCTTGTGTTGATTCCTTCCAGTGAGTGTGTGAATTCGCAGCAGTACTCCAGGCATATTACTCAGCAGCAGCTTCTTCAGTTTATCATGGGCTTGAATGAGACATATTCGTTGATTCGAAGCCAAATCCTGCTGATGCAACCTCTTCCTTCGGTTAACCAGGCATATTCCATGGTTGCTCAAGAGGAGTCTCAGCGAATCCAGCTATCTTTTATGCCAAGTCTTGATTCCTCGGTATTTTATTCCAAAGGTTCTGGGATTCCCGATCGTCGTCGGTTTCAAGGTATTTGTGATTATTGTAAGGTCAAGGGTCACAAGAGGGATAGTTGCTACAGTCTCATAGGATTTCCACCAGACTTTAAATTCTCCAAATGAATGAATGATCAAACTGCAGTAGCTATCTCTGAATCTACTACTGTTCTTGAACCTGCTGTTGTGTATGACCTTACTAAAGCCTCTGGAAAGTTGAGTTCTTCGGCCACTCTGGCACCTTCTTTCACCTAGGAGCAGTACAACCAAATTCTTTGTTTGTTGTCCTCTGCTCCGTCTATTGATTCCACTGTGAATCTGGCAGGTATTGTTGATGGTAATCTTCCTGCCTATAATAAATCATTGACTTGGATTTTAGATACAGGTGCCACAGATCATATACTATCTGATTTTCAATGCTTGTTGTCTCCTGTTTTATGTTCCTCACGGTCCATTCTACTACCAAATGGTAAAACAGTCCTGGTCACATATATTGGTTCTTTCTTCCTGAATTCAAATACAAACCTGTCTAATGTATTATATGTGCCAACTTTTACTCACAATTTGCTTTCTATTTCGAAGCTTACCCGTGACCTTCACTGTTTTGTCCGTTTTAATCCTGACTTTTGCATTTTGCAGGACCTCTCAAGTGGAAGGATGAAGGGGATTGGTAAGGAGTGTAGAGGACTTTATTTTTTTCAGTCACCTGCTTTACCTACTGGTTTGTCGTCTACACATAATTCTTCAAATGTGCAGTCTCCTGTTTTTTGCTCTAATATGTCTTGTGATTCAAAATTGTTTGATTCTGGTCATGTATCTGAATGTATGACTACTACTTCTAGAAATAAAACAAGCATTTGGCATTCTCGTTTAGGACATGCTACTATTTCGACCATGAATAAATTACCCTCATTGCATTTTGTTAACTTGGATTCCAAACTATTGCATTCTTGTCCTATATGTCCTTTAGCAAAACAAACTAGGCTTCCATTTCCTGTTAGTCTTACCTCTTCACAAGCTCCTTTTAACCTAATTCATATAGACTTGTGGGGTCCCTATCGAATTGCAACACTTAGTGGTCATAGGTATTTTTTAACCATAGTTGATGATTTTACCCGTATGACTTGGGTGCACTTGTTGAGATTGAAGAATGACACTGTTATTTCTCTTAATAAATTCATCACTTTTGTCAAAACCCAATTTTCAGCCACTGTTCAAATCATTCGTAGTGATAATGGCACTGAATTTTTTAATTCTCAGTGTTCTGATCTTTTTAGCTCCCTAGGTATTCTTCATCAAAGCTCATGTGTTTAGACTCCCCAACAAAATGGGGTTGTTGAACACAAACATAGACATATTCTTGAAGTTGCAAGGGCTCTTAGGTTTCACTCAAAGGTTCCTATCAAATTTTGGGGTGAGTGTATTATGACAGCTTGCTATATAATAAATTGCCTACCTTCTTCTGTTTTAAATTTCAGAACTCCTTTCGAGGCTCTTTACCATAAATCTCCTGACCTCTCTCATCTAAGGGTATTTGGGTGTTTATGTTATGCTACCAAGCTTAACTATAGAGACAAATTCTCTCTTAAGGCTATCCCTTGTGTTTTCATGGGATATTCTTCAACTCAAAATGGGTACATTTTGTTTAGTCTTCAATCACAACAGTTTCTTGTGAGTAGGGATGTGGTGTTTCATGAAGTAAATTTTCCCTTTCATTTTCCTGTTTCAGAATCCTCTCCTTTTTTCCCTTCACATTCTCATATTCCTGACTCTGATTTTCTGATTCTTGATTCTTCACTACCTATTGATTCTTCTCATATTGATAATTCTTTAAATCCTTTGCATGAAGTTCCTATTATGTCACATATTGATTCTTCCAGTTCTTCACTACCTCTTGGTTCTACACCTATTCCATTCATTTCTCCATCTGATGCCTCAACAGGTGCATCTGGTAGTCCATTTGGCTCTTCATCAAGTCCTTCTAAAGCTGATATTCCTCCTTTAGCACATGATTCATTTGTGTCTAGGCGTTCCTCTCGTGTCTCCAAGCCTCCAACATGGTTAAATGATTATGTAAGTTCTTGCCAATCCACTTCATCCTCTACTAATTACCTTGTTTCCAAGTACATTTCTTACTCTCATTTACCCTCACATACTAAACATTTTTTGGCTTCTATTTCTCATTCTCCTGAACCCACCACTTATCAAGAAGCTTGTCAACATCCGCAATGGCAGAAGGCCATGAGAGAGGAGATTCAAACATTGGAGTTAAATAATACTTGGACTGTGGTACCTTTACCTTCTGGTAAAATTCCCATTGGCTGCAAATGGGTTTATAAAATCAAGTATCGTGCTTCGGGTGTGGTGGAACGGTTCAAGGCTCGGTTGGTGGCCAAAGGGTACAGTCAAAAGGAGGGTGTTGACTATGTGGAGACTTTTTCTCCTGTTGCTAAACTTACCACTGTGAGATTGGTTTTGGCTCTTGCTTAAATTTTTGACTGGCAATTTTTGCAAATGGATGTTCACAATGCATTCTTGCAAGGAGATTTGATTGAAGAAGTCTATATGCAATTGCCTAAAGGATTTTCCAGCCAGGGGGAGCATATGGTTTGTAGGCTGCAAAAGTTTTTGTATGGGCTCAAGCAGACTTCTAGACAATGGAATAAGAAACTGTCTGAAGCACTTACATCAGTAGGGTTTCAACAGAGTAGGCATGATTACTCAATGTTTATAAGGCGAGTAAAAAGCAAGTTAGTGATTGTGCTTGTGTATGTAGATGATTTACTGATTACTGGCAGTGATGCTACTATGATAGAAGAGCTCAAGTGTATATTGAATTCCAAGTTTAAGATGAAAGATTTGGGTGAATTTAGATACTTTCTTGGGTTGGAAGTGTTACGATCAAAAAAAGGGATTGTTTTAAACCAACGCAAGTATGCTCTAGAATTAATAAAAGATGTCAAGGCAGGGAGAGCAAGGCCCGCTTTAACACCCTTAGAACAAAATAATAATTTTTTGATTGCCTCGGACACTAAGAGCTTGAAGACAAGTACAGAGGATATGGTTGACAAGACACAATTTCAAAGGCTAATAGGAAGACTTATTTACTTGACTCACACTAGGCCTGACATAGCCTATTCGGTATAGCATCTAAGCCAGTTTATGCATCAACCTGGAAAGGTGCATATGGAAGCAGCCCTGAGAATTGTGCGGTATGTTAAGAGGAATCCAGGGCAAGGAATTTTGCTAGACTCCTCTAGTACGTGTGGCTTGATTGCTTATTATGATTCAGACTGGGCAACTTGTCCGATGTCAAGAAAATCTGTAACAGGGTACTGTATAAAACTTGGCAATTCTTTGGTCTCATGGAAGTCAAAAAAGCAGAACACAGTGGCTCGTTCTTCAGCAGAAGCTGAGTATAGAAGTATGGGAATTACCACAACAGAGTTAGTTTGGCTAAATGGGTTGCTAAATGATCTAGGAGTGAAACAGAATCAGCCTATCAAGCTGTTTTGTGACAGCAAAGCAGCATTACAGATTGCTTCGAATCCATTCTTCCATGAAAGGACGAAGCACATTGAGATCGATTGCCATTTTGTTAGAGACAATATTCAAGAAGGGTTCATCATTGTTGAACACGTATCCTCAAGGGAGCAGCCTGTAGACATTTTGACAAAGGCACTCGAAACACAACAACATGAGTATTTGATAGCCAAGTTGGGGGCTACAAATGTTTTTCACCCACCAACTTGAAGGGGAGTGTTAAGATAGCAAATGATTAGTTAGTTTGTTATAAGTTTGTTGTTAGACTGTTAGAGAATTAGTTAGAAGCATTTAGCTCTTGTATTATAGTTTGTACAGTGTACTATATATATTGCAGTTTAGTTGAATAATAAGATGAACGAGGCATTATTTTAACACCTTCTACTGCTTAAAATTATATTGTCTCTTATCGTCCCAAACAAAAGGAACTCCTTTCTAAAGCAATTTGGTCATATGAGTAGCTATTATTGAGAAGACTTTGATGAACTAACGATAATAATCGACGAGACCCAAGAAATTCATACTTCGGACACATTATTTGGTGGTTCCCACTTGACCATTTCTTGAAACTTTTGAGGGTCAACCCAAATTTTTCTGCCACCATGACGTGACCCATAAAGTAAACCTCTCATAATCAAAACTCATATTTACTTAACTTTGCATACAATTTGCGCTCATGAAGTGTATGTTGTACATGCAGAGATGTTGGTCGTGTTCCTCTTCTAAAAGTGAGTACACAACAATTTCATCGATGAGTACCAATAAGAAAAGATCAAAATAAGGGTGGAAAATTTTATTGATCATGTCCATAATGTTGTCAGTGTATTGGTGAGCCTAAATGACATGACCAAAACAACTCATGACTATACTGAGTCCTAAAAGCTATCTTTCCAATGTCAGAATCATTAACCTTTAAATGATAGTATCTTGATCTCAAGTCGATTTTAGAGAACACACACTCCCTTGGGTTGGTCAAATAGATTGTTGATTCATGGGAGTGGATATCAATTCTTAATGGTTAACTTGTTAATTTGCCGATAGTCTATGTACAACCTCATTGACTTGTCCTCCTTCTTAACAAACAAGTGTTCCCCAAGATATACTAGGCTAAATAAGTCCTCTCTATCAACTCTTGAATATTAACCTTAAGCTCTTTCAACTCTGTCGATGCCATGCCATAGGGTACACTAGAAACTGGAATTGGTCAAGGTAAGACTTCAATGCCAAAATCTAGCTATCGATCTAACGATAACCTAGGAAACTCTTTCCTGAAAAAATTAGGAGATTATCGTGCGGTACTAATGTCCTCAGGTGATAGACTCAAAATCCTCATGTCGACCACATGAGCCAATAAAGCTTTGTAACTCTGATTAATCAATTTTTAAGTTCCCATTACAAAAATTACTCATGAGGTACACCTAGGTCTCTTTCATTCATTACTATTTTTGTATCGTCTAGCTTTCCTAACTTAAGTTGTCTCACTCTACACCTCAAATGTACGTCATCATGCTTAGATAAACAATCCATTCCCAAGATACATCAAATCCCCAGAACAAAATTCCATTAAATCGACTAGAAAGATCTGGCCCCGGACCTTTATAGGTAAGAAATATAAACATAGGTCGCATTATCGTGGAAGAAATCTACACTTTTTCTAAGAAGGACATGAGAAGGTTAAATTTTCCATGCCTCATCATGACGATATGTGCGTATGCTAGAATAGAGTATGAGGAGTCTGATGAGAAGTAGCCAAAGAAGCAAGAATTATCTAGTTAAGCTTACCTAAAGATAATGATGAAGGGTTTCCAAGATTAAATAAATTAGTACTATCTGTCTCGGCAACTCAACTAGTAGCTCCTGTAGCACCTGTCAGGAAAAGTGTCTAGACGTCATTTGATCTCCTCAATACCCTATTGGTCCGATTATATAGATGGAGGCCAAACAATAATTTTTTAGCGTTATGTGAAAGAGTACGATATTACTTTGGAGAATGAACAACTTGAGATCAACCCAACCCTACAATTTCATTCCTCACGTTTCCAGCATCTTTTTTTTCTACCACAAAGGATGTTGAGTTGGATGTTGATACACTTGAGTTGGACATCAGCGGAGATGCCACGAAAACTTCTTCCATAAGTTTTTACAGTTTTATATGATAATTCTACTTTTATCTTTTCAGATTCTAATATGTGTCACCACCTCACGCACCATCACCATCTATTGTGTTGGCCCAACCAACAAAGCATAAGGCTTCACCAATCAAAACAACTACATCGGCTCATAAGACTACTATTAAGGCAGCAACAACAACAATAAAAGTTAAAGAAAGCACACAAGTCCAGCCACCACCAAAGAAAACAAATGTCAAACACACAACAATGAGAAGGATCCTACGACATAAGAGACCCATAACACCACCAACACCACAATAGATGTTCTTGCCCCTAACTTTGGTTTATTTTTATTTTTGTAATGCTTTTTTTGTTTTTTTGCATTCACTACTTGCATTTTGTACTTTACATGCGTTGAGGACAATGCATTCGATTAAGTTTGGTGGTGTTCTTCTTGTTTATATGTTGGTGTTTCTTTATTTTTTCTACTTTCATATTCCATTACTTGTCACAGCATTTTAGACAGTTGAAAATTATTAAACCTTTCCATTAACTTATGATGAGACAATTTCCATGAAAACAAATGCCGAGAACTTTAAGACTTAGGGGCAGTTTAGAATTATATTGAGTATAGTTGTGATGCCTTAAATGTTAAGCAGTGGTTTTAGATGTTTGACTTATGGGTACCTTAGGTGAAAAGAATTCTAGTGAATAAATTACTAGAGGTGCCCATCTGTCTCTAGCTCGACAAGTGAAATACTAGAGTATCTTATTTGGCTCTAGCTGGTTGAAATAAAATGCCACGACAACACTGTTGCTCTAAGGCACTCCACTATCAAGACTAATCAGGTACACTTAGTTAACACGAAATAGGAAAGATAATTAAACTTAGGCATAAGTGAATGAAAGTCTTCATAGGATGACTCTACCGAAAAGGCTAGGGGTCATAGTCTATTTCATCTTAACTGAATCTACCAAACATTGAGTAAATAGTACTGATGTTATATTTGGTACCCATGAATTGAGCTGAAACAACTATGAGCGCACACACACACGAGTATCATAACTTGAATCAAAGAGGTTTCGTGTTGCCTTGAGGTTTGATGGTTATTGTTAGTAGTTGTCGAAGTTCTGAGGTAATAGTGTAGGGCAGATTTAGTTGTTAAATTATTCATTTGCTGAGGCAAGTTTTTGTTCATTCATTGCTGGGGAATGAGCAATAATTCAAGTTTGGGGTGTCATAACCCCATAAAAATAATATACTTTATGTTCCTTTATATGATTTATTGTTTGGTATTAGGTACATATCATTGCATATTTACTTATTTTTATATTTTTTTGCATTTAGTTTGTGTTTTGCTGCATTGATTTTATTTTGAGTGGATTGCATGCTGCCCAATGTGTTAGTGGTTTGCATGTGGAGATGAGATGGCAATAGATGGAGAGAAAGATGTTGTGGTAAGTGAAGCGAAGACTGTCTTCCAGCCAAATGCATCTAATCAATCTAGCCGCATGCACTTTTGACATATGAATTTTATTTTCTAGGGTTTTGATTTAAACTCAAGGAACAATGAACAAGATAAAAGATAATGAACTTAAACTTTAAAACTTCATCTTTCCAAAACAGAAGGCACACAGATTATAAAAAGACATAGGGTGTTCATTAAACCCTAAGCTAGGAATTCAAATTCTGTTTATTTACAAGCAGCCACCATCAAAGAGAGTTAGAGGCACTACCCAAACTGGCTCGAATACTTGGAAGACAATAATCGATTTTTTCTTAGCTCTCTTCTTTTTCTTCTTAGATTTTTTTTCCATGATTTCGAATATTTCTTC